AAGTTAAATTGTTAAAGAAATATGAAATTGTTTAATCTGTATTTGTAAGAGTTACTGTTTGAGGAGTTGAWTTTTTTGTTTTGTTTTATTTGATTATTATTGTTTGAAATTTTTATTTTTTGAAAATAGGGGCAGATATAAGATTTTTTCTTCTGCTACCTTTCATTTTTATTTGATTTTTATCGTTTTGTTGTATGTGAATGTGTGTGTTTTTTATGAAGTGGATAAATTATATATATATTTTAAAAAAATCCAGAATGCACAATGACAGCAGCAGAAAGAATCAAAAAACCCTTAAAGTAAAATGTCAGCATCTCAGTTTAATTTATCATTGATGGATAAATTGTCCACTAAAATGCTGCATTTTGACCACATCAGGTGATGCAAAGGAGGAAAAAGAAACTAAAGACCAGCTTTCTGATCASGTAAGAATCATCACTATTATATCTTCTATAGTTTTCAGAAGATAAAACTAGTTGCTTGTTTATTTGTAATCTTTAGGAGGCTGAACAGGAAATGGCTGTGGAGATAAAAACGCCACACAGGGAGTCACCCAGAAGCACAGAGGAGGAGGAAAAGGACCAGGAGATGGAAGAGGAGACATCAAGCTGCAGAACYACAGCTGGTATTTATTAAACAGAACAATTACAACATAGTAATAAACATGTCTTGATCATTATTTAAATCATTCTATAATTTGTCGTTTTGACCATAAATACTAATTTTGTACTTGCATAAAAGAAAAATGCACATATTGTTTGCATTTATTTATAACTATCCTGCTCTGATTTACATAAACCAAAATCTGACTAATGTCAGGTCACCTTGTTATATATAGTTCATGATAAACTTTTGTTTTGTTATTAMGTTTTTCACTTTATATTACTACAATATGCAATTGAGGATAGATTAATGTTGAACAGAAGTTGTTTTTTTTCYTAATTTTACTTCTGTTTTCAACATCAGATGATCAGAAAACAGATGAGACAAAATCTGAGGGCAGCACAGAGGAAACATCAACACTGGAAGCAGCAGAGCAACAAGAGGTTTGTTCAAAATATTAAAACATGCTCATTTTTTATTATAAAATTAAAAAAATAATTCACAAAGCATCAAGTAAATTTCACTGTGCAGTAGTTTAGTATGWTTGTTTCCTTGTCTTTCAGTGCACTGAAGATAAAGATGAACCACAGGAAACTAAAGATGAACCGCCGTCTCCTGTCCCAGAGGACGGTGAAGCTGCAGGAGACTCGGACATCATTGAGACTGTGGACACAGGTGAGATTTACTTCTTCTTTTTTTTTTCCCAAGTTAAAGCAGCACTTATCCTGTTTTCACCAGCAGAGTCAAGCTGCTAATTAGAAACAGCAGGACTGTTAATTATATCAATCCCACAAGAAGTTGGACTAAAATTGTTCAGCAGACACTTTTTTATGTCTAAAATAGCAACTTTAAAATGAGTTTTTAATCTTTTGTAGAAATTCCAGGTGAAGCAACAGAGAAGAGAAATAAATTYGAGGATATGGAGGAACCTGCAGAGGTAAGATTTGTGATGATTATCATTCTGTAGTTTACTTTAGCACCATATTTATCCATGTGTAAGTCAAGATGTGATTCTGCAGGAACCACAGGCTCTGCAGGAGGTGTCGGACAACAGTGAAGCAGAACAAAGTGAAGAACAACCTGACAAAGACAGTGGTGAGGAATCACACACACTGTAAATAATATAACCTAAAGTGTTATCAGGAAGGTTGTTGGATCTCATCAGCTGAACGTCTGCAGACAAACCTCATCTTTTGTAAAGAAAATGTCACGAAGCATGATTTTGTTCCAGGTTCTCCCTCTGTGAGCCAATCAGAGGATGTAAAAGAGGAGAGCAGCAGTGAGAAGAAACCAGATGTATGTTTGGAATGACATTTTTATCTKCATGTTAAATCACACTCAGAGTGTTGTCCCAGCTTATAAACCCTCAGATGTTTGATTTTCTCTTCAGGCTCAGGAGGAGCAGCAGGAGGACCAGGAGCCAACTCCAAAGAAACCTGCTCGCAGAGGACGGCCACCAAAGGCTGCAGCTGCAGAGGATTCAGGTAAAGTAAATTTAATTTGATTAAATTGAAAGAAAAATGACCTTTCTTTTTTAATTTGTGTGCATAAATGCTGGTGGCTTTAATTCGTGTGTAAACAACTTGATTTTATTTGATTTGTTTATTTTCCAGGAGAAGCAGCAGTGAAGAGGAAGAGATCAGAGCAAATGGAGGAATCTGGAGAGGTAAATTGTTATTTTATTGTTTGTCAATCTGTTAGTGCAGGGATAGGMAATCCTGGTCCTCGAKTGCCRCTGTCCTGCATGTTTTACTTGTTTCTCTGCTCCAACACACCTGATCTGAATGTATGTTGATTGAYAGGCTTCTGCAGAACTTGGAAGAGGTAATTCAATCTCTGAATCAGGTGTGTTGGAGCAGGGAAACRAGTAAAACATGCAAGACAGTGGCACTCGAGGACCAGGGTTGCCTATCCCTGTGTTAGTGCTAAACAATAAGTCAGTATCAATATGTATCCCAGTAGAAAACGTTTCAATAACAGTGCTATGACTTTTAAAGGAATTGATGAGGTACACCACAGGCTCGACAGCAGCGCTCAGCTCACTCTGTTTACACTACGCTAACAACACTACGTACAACACCGTGAATATCAGCCTCAAAATGAGCTCAACAGCTGTAAGAGAGCAAGAGTYCACTGCTGGAAAAGAACCAGAAGAACTAGTTAAGATAGAAAAGACTGCTGTAATTCAGTGGTGTGGAGGTGGGTCGGGTATCAACCGTCTGATAAAGTCCAGTTTTCAGTTTGCTGTAATGTACAGACTCTGGTCCGACTCACAGCAGGAACATCAAACTTGTTCCACCGTCTGATAAAGTTCCACTCAATAGAACATTCTGAGTGGATGAAAACGAAGCCCCCTAGATGTTTAAGACCTCTTATTAAAACAGCAACATCTGTCCATCAGCAGCTGTYGAGCAAAGTGAAGCCAACGCTGTAAACACAGACAGGTATGGCAGACCATTGTGACACATATAATCGGCTTCTCCGCACATAAATTCCAGATATCTGAAACTGGTTTATGACTAGACATATTAGTTAATTAAGATATCTCATTTTATATTGAATAGGCAAAATACCTATTTTTATCTATAAAAATATCTAATTGCATTCAAACTAGTGTAAATTCTGTCAGATTTACCRTTAGCGTGTATGGAGGCTCTAATTCAAGACGTCTGCAGTGATTTATCTGAAACATATATTTCAGATATCAACAATTAAAWTCTAACTAGTCATAAAGTAAATTTGAGATTTTTCACTTTTTGTGCTGACTTATCATAATTTTAATAAAGATATCTTAAAAGGCATCAGGTAAATAAATAAATATTGGCGTTCTTGGCAGTTTTTCTGATATTTTTTATAAATCATATTGATATTAAAATTATATTGTATCGAGCAAACTTAAAAGTTTTATCCTGATACAAATTTTAACCATATCATCCAGCAAGTTTGTTTGCTTTAGCACCATATTTATCCATGTGTGCGTCCTGATGTGTGATTCTGCAGGAACCACAGGCTCTGCAGGAGGTGACGGACAACAGTGAAGCAGAACAAAGTGAAGAACAACCTGACAAAGACAACGGTGAGGAATCACACACACTGAATGTAGAGGGAAGTTATCAAGAAGGTTGTTGGATCTCATCAGCTGAACGTCTGCAGAAATACCTCATCTGTTGTAGAGAAAATGTCATGAAACATGATTTTGTTCCAGGTTCTCCCTCTGTGAGCCAATCAGAGGATGTAAAAGAGGAGAGCAGCAGTGAGAAGAAACCAGATGTATGTTTGGGATTAAATTTAATTCTACTATTTCTATTTAATTCAGAATTATACTTTGATCATATCAGAGTGTTATCCCATTTTATACACACTCATGTGTTGTTTGATTTTCTCTTTAGGTTCAGGAGGAGCAGCAGGAGGACCAGGAGCCGACTCCAAAGAAACCCGCTCGAAGGGGACGGCCACCAAAGGCTGCAGCTGCAGAGGAWTCAGGTAAAAGAAATTTAATTTGATTTGAAAACAAAAAAATTTTTCTTTTGTTTTGTGTGATGTGATAAACAAGATTATGCCTCTGCACAGAGCATAATCCTCAAAGCAAAAGAGCAAACTTTATAAACTTAAATTCCTGACACCTTCATMTTGAACTCAGGCAAAAAGCAGTGTAAAGCAGAGGACGGTGAAGCTGCAGGAAACACAGACTCCAAGACGGCTGTGGACATGCGTGAGTTTATTTTTCATCTCATCACGTTTTTATTAGACCAGAATAAAGCTGCTAATCAGATAGAAATGTTAACAGTTTGAGAAACGTTCAAATAGGAGGGTGACAGCACCACCTGCAGGCAGCAGGAGGAAAAACAAGCAAAGTTTATAACAGCAACAAGAAGTTTGTGTATATTTTTGTTGTCTTCTAAAACAGAAAGATAAAGTATTGTTGTCAAAGACAGATACATAAATGCTGGTGGCTTTAATTCCAATTCATCTGGAAACAACATGATCTATTTGATGTGTTTGTTCTCCAGGTGAAGCAGCAGTGAAGAGGAAGAGATCAGAGGAAAAGGAGGAACCTGCAGAGGTAGGATTTGTGATGATTACTATTCTGTAGTTTACTGAAGCACCATATYTATCCATGTGTGCYTCCTGATGTGTGATCCTGCAGGAACCACAGGCTCTGCAGGAGGTGACGGACAACAGTGAAGCAGAACAAAGYGAGGAACAACCTGACAAAGACAGCGGTGAGGAATCACACACAGGGTTCCTGCAGATCCTTAAAAAGTTTTAAAAGGCATTGAATTCWTCGAWCCAAAAATAAGGCCTTAATTMGCCTTAAAATGTCTTCAATCAATCTTTCAGAAGTCTTAAAAAYGTTAACACATCGTACATAGGATGACTGTAATTCRTCTCAAATATTAAAATAATTGGTAAAAAACAAAAYTTGAACATTCACATGCAGAYATTCCTCTTTGACATCACTTCCTGTTATTTCACATGCAAATATCTCAACAACTGTYCATCTGAGCAGTGTGACATTWGTTTTGTAATATGTTCCAAAAATGTATTCACATTTCTTACAAAAAAATTGATGTCACCGGCACTTTAAGATTTCATCTGCAGCAAATTGGGGTTGAAACCCCACTGCGGGTCCTAAAACTCCAAATTCTGGGACGTTAGAGAATTTCCAGGAATGAAATTAAGTTTAAAATTGACTGCTAAGAATGTCTTTGCTATATTTGACAAAAAAAAGCAGTTGGATATGGATAAAAATTATTGGTCTATTAGCAGTATTTGAATACTTCAACCAAAAATACTTTGATTCATCAGTTTCTGCCAGTTTTTATTTTTTGTCCTTTTTGTTTTTTGTGAAATTGGTCTTAAATTTAATTTAATTTGGCATTAAAAAGTCGTAAAAGGTCTTAATTTTAATTTAATTTGGCATTAACAAGTCTTAAATTTTAATTTAATTTGGCATTAAAAAGTCTTAAAAGGTCTTAATTTTAATTTAATTTGGCATTTAAAAGTTGTAAAAGGTCTTAATTTTAACTTGCATTAAACTGTAGGAACCCTGCACACACACAGAAAATAAAATAACCTAAAATGTTATCATGAAGCTTGTTGGATCTCATCAGCTGAACGTCTGCAGAAAAACCTCGTATTTTGTAGAGAAAATTTGAAGCATGACTTCTTTTCAGGTTCTCCCTCTGTGAGCCAATCAGAGGATGTAAAAGAGGAGAGCAGCAGTGAGAAGAAACCAGACGTATGTTTGAAATGACATTTAAAAATTGTATTTTTATCTTCATGTTAAATCACACTCAGCATGTGAGCAACTTATAAAAACTCAGATGTTTGATTTTCTCTTCAGGCTCAGGAGGAGCAGCAGGAGGACCAGGAGCCAACTCCAAAGAAACCTGCTCGCAGAGGACGGCCACCAAAGGCTGCAGCTGCAGAGGATTCAGGTAAAATAACTTTAATTTGATTTATATTGAAAACAAAAGGACTTTGCTGGAAAAGTGCCAGTGCTTATCTGAAAATGAGTCAAACGGGAACCCAAATAAAGAAGTACGGATTTTTATTATACTTTGTATCGTGTTGTAAAGAGTAGAGCTGAGCATGTTTAATAACCGCCTGAAACCTCCAYCTTTGACTCAGATAAAAAGGAACATAAAGCAGATGAAAAAGAACCCGAGCAGAACGACGAAGAGGAGGAGGAAGAGGACGAAAAAGAAACTTCAACCAGAGCCACGACTCGGCTGGCGTCTCGCCTGGAGGCTGAAAGGTAGTTTCGAGTTTTATTTAGTAGCTCGAGCCACGTAATGAATCCGCAAAATGAACTTCATTAAAGTTTTCATGTTGACAAAACGTCCGGCGACACCGTAAATACTGAAGTGTGGCGTGTGCAACAGTAGCACTCTCATCCCCTCGCAGTGTTGACGCATAAACATCTGCCCCGAACCTCTCCGAAGAACACCCGTTTCATCACATTTATTGCCAGTGAAGGAAAATTTAGCACCAAAGCAATGATTTTCTTTTATTGCTTCTCAGAAATAAGCCGAGTAAACCATCCACCCGGGCGAGCCGTCAGAACGATAAAGAGGAGACCGCAGCTGGCACACGGTGAGCTTCAGCAGCATGAAGGAACCAGAATATGACCAAAACTGCATTTACTCTGTGGAAAAGAATAAAAAAAATAAAACATTTTAATCCAAGAAACACAAGACTGATTAGCTCTGTTTGAAAATAATAAATTCTGGCCTAACATGTTTTAGAAGAATGTATATTAAACACATGTAATAAGACACTAATTTATGATTATTATATAATTTATTTTTACTCTTTAATGTTTATTTCCAGTAGAAATAATGGTTAATTATGACTATATTTCAGGGAAATTAACACCTATATATTTATCTGATTTAAAAGATTAATAAACCACCATATATATAATGTTACAATTTTATTTATTTATTTTACATTTTTGGCATCCTTTTTTTTGGAAGGCAACATATGACCTAATATGGTCATAAGTTTTCTCTYGTTAGTTTTTCCCAGAGGTTATAGTAACTAAGTACATTTACTTTGTTACA